AAAAGTTACCATCTTGGAACCCCAGAGACAGTTCTACCCTGTCTGATAGGGTCCCTGTGAGTCAGAACTGACTGAATGGCAGTGAGTGTGGTTTGGGTTTTTCTGAACCATCGGGGCATCCCTACGTGGGGCGCAGGGCTAAGGTGCTCAGCTGCTGACCCAAAGCCTAGAGGTGGACGCCCATGCAGAGGCACCTCGGAAGAGAGGCCTGGCCTTCTGCTTCCCCAAAAGTCTGCTGTTGAAAACCCCACGGAGCACAGCTCTCCTATCGCACACAGGGCGCATGAGTCAGAGGAAGCTTGATGCTGTATTGTTTTGTTTGCAAGTGACCCGTACAATTTATTTCCTTTTACTTTAGACCTCTAAATATCAGCGTTGTCTCAAATGTTGCTACTTCCCCCCCTTCCCCATGTTTATTACCTATGAATGGCACCACAGAACGCTCTCCAACTCATGGCGTTGGGCAAGTCATCAGTGGAGGGCCCTTCAGTCGGAGGAGGATCGGAGCCCTCGCTGCAGGGCTGGACCGGAGCGTCATGATGGTCCCCCTCCTCCCGGTGATGGGTCTCTGTCTCCTGCTTGTCCTGTCGAAGACTTAATGTGTCCCCATAAGCTGGGTTGCAGCCTGAGGGCTCTTTTCTGCCCCATGACACAACTCTGAGCAGCAGTGAACAGGAAGGCAAGCAAGTGAAGCTGTGCGCTGGTGCCCATAAAATCGGTGACCCAGCCAAGCCCTGGCCCGTCTCTCTCGGCGGCGGGGCTGCACTGCTCAGCAGTTTCCTGCTTCCCTTCACACACAGCGTGCAAGCCCCAAGCTGCTCTCTCTGACCTTGCCTCCCCGTCCGTCCTCTCGTAACCTCTTCTCGGTGTCTCTTTCTTCTCTGTCTTAATTCTAATCACCGATGCAGCCTTAACCTTTTCTCCAGCGGAAGCCTACCTGGAGCCCCCTAGGAAAGCCCAGGTTGCTAAGTGCTACCTGCTGTGGACATCTGTCCCATTGAGACACCACTGCCCGCCAAGGCCTGCAGAGCTGATGGGGCTGCCCATTAAGCTGCCCCACCCCCAACCAAGAGCGAGCACCTGCAGTGCTGCCTTCCTCAGTAAGCAAGGTAAGCACAGGCTTCCTCGTGCTTACTTCTCTGTAATGAGCAGGCTCACAGGCTTTCACCAGAGATTCTGCTTCTAGGCATGGCTGCACCCGCCGCCTCGTTCCCGCCCTACTGCACTTTCCCGCAGAATCAGAGCCTCTTTTCAAATGCACAACTCCCAAAGTCATGGAGCCCTGGAGGCAGACATCATGGTTAAGTGTTGGACTGCTAACTGCAAGGTCAGCAGTTCAAAACCACCAGCCATTCCTTGGGAGAAAGATGAGGCTTTCTACTCCTGGAGAGATTGACAGCTTCAGACACACACCAACTCCTGTGGAGTTGCCACGAGTCAACACTGCTCGATGGCAGTGAGTTTGCCTTTTGGTTTCATAGCGAGGGAGCACCCACTAAGGTAAGCACCAGTTTATTTGTGCTTATGTTCTAAACTGTAGGGGACAGCTTCCACAGCTGGAATGTGGGGAAACCCCATGTGAAATGACTCACTACAAGTAAGACTGGGAACCTTTGGCCCTAGAAGAAATGGATGCTGCCCCGCTAACCATGACTGAACATGTTGATCAAGGGCCAAGTAGATGGATCCCAATCAAAAGGAGGAAACAGAACTTCAACCCTGTGTAGAAACTAGACTTACTGGATTCAAACCCCTGAAACTCATGCCAGGAAGTAATGTTTTAACCTTGAACTACAGCCATCCCCAGAAATCATCGATAAACTCAACATTTTAGGCTAAAACTAAACCTCTTTCCTGGCCCATGGTGTTCTTGGAAAACATTCTCTACATGAGCGCAATCTAAACACAGGTGAGAGCTTGAGCAGCCAAAGTCACGGCGATGAAGCATCCTGGGTAGAGGGAGTGGGAACGGGGACACCATGTGTGACAGGTAACCAAAGTCACTGAACTGCTCAGGTACAAAGGTGAATACAAGTTTGGTTTTACAGATTGACACCAAAAAAAA